GTGAGGCATCCATGCAGGTTGTCGATACGCATCGCACCCAGGACATGGGTATTCTGGGTTGCATAGGTTCCAGACCGTAGCAGCCCTATGCCAAGCATCAACTTCGAGAATGTTTTTCATGAGGTAAACATCGCCGTTGTTCTTCATGTCGATGTAGTCTTCTCCGGCTTCGGTAAGGAGCCAATGGGCATCCTGCACCATGTCTTCTGCAATTATCTCGTACATGGACTCCCAGCTTAGGAGTCCTAGTATGGGCGGCACGTATTGTACCGACCTAGTGAGAACCTTCTTTATCCCCATCATAACTTCGCCCATGATTGCAGAATTCAGTGGTCTCATCGGCATTCCACTGCCGACTCCCACGGGTGCTCCATGTTCAGCCTCCTTGTTCTTGCTCACTTCTTTCCCTAAGGGTTCACCTTCTTTGCCACTCGGCAAGATCGGAACAGTCTTCATTGAAGACCTCATTGAGAAAACGGTATCGGATCTTGTCCTGGGTTTCAAGGTCATGGGTTCGACGGGAGGCCTCGCAAAGTCGGAGCTCTGCTGCTCTGATCCTTCTACAGGCCTCATCATCCATGGCATCTGGTTCGAGGGGGAGGTCCTCAAGGTCTCGTATGGCGTGCCACTTGGCATTCCGAGTGTGTGCACTGTTCGTTCTTGCTCTGTCCATTTGGGCCGCTCTGATTGGGGACTCCCAGGCAGCTCGAAGGTTGAAGTTGGACTCGACGAGCGTGTTGTACTCATCAGTCCATGGTCGCTGATTGAAGGGGATGGGGGCAGCAAACGCCCTTGGTGCAACAGATGGGGTGAAATCGGGGACTCTGGGGAGTTTGTCGGTGGTGGTACTTCCTCCAGCGACATTGGATGTTGGATCGGCGTGAAGGTCCGGGTTGTACGACTCAATGGTATCCCAGATATGCTGCTCCATCTCAGCAGGGAGGGCAATGGTCCACATGATGGGGGTGTCCTCAGGCCCTGCAGTTTGGGCTGATACTCTGGCCACAGGAGTTTCTTCCCAGGTGAAGACCCAACTTGTGTGGGGGTATCATGCCACAGGGATCCCTTGCCACTCTCTTCGGCTGCCTGATGCAATTCTGCTGTCATAAGGGTCTGAGGCAGCTGGACCAGTGGTAGTCATGGCGGAGGCCCCAAGGCCGAGCTCTCCACTATCCTCCGCAAGGTCATCTCCACAGAAGTACTCTCTGGTGTCTCTTTCAGCCTCGAACCACTCACTTCGGGAATAGGGGTCATCCCCTTCTTCCGTTGTGACGCCGTCGAGGAGGTCTTGGAGGTGGATCCTTTTGAACTCACTGAGGGTGTCACCGCCTTCCTCGCTCTGGTCCACAGGCCCTCCTTCTTCTCCTCCAATGGGAGGGAGGTCGATGATGCCTGATACGGGAGCGTCGCTGTCTCCAAAATGGACTCCTCGTACATCTGTGATGTCGACAGAGGTTGCTCATGGTGTTGGGGAAGACTCCCCGGAATCTGTGGATTCTCCTCTGGGTGTGATGGGTCATCCATCGTGGGTAGTCGGAATGTGTGGATAGGGGATTATGGGGTACGGGATTGGAAGGTGGGGAATATAATGAAATGGGAGTCATGCCCTATGAGCACAAGTGCAGCACCTGTATAATTGCCTGAGGACAATAACCAGGAGTGCCCCTGCTAGTAATCTGAATGTGACTGCGATGGTTGGGAGCAATTCAGCAAGCGGCATAGGCACTTGGGATCTAGTAGTCAAATAGTCCAACGGTTACAATTAACCACGAGACTACGAGGACTGGGTAGAGTTCACTGGTTGCGACCAGAATTATGATTACAGAGACTGCGAACAGTCGAATCACAAAGATGTAGAGCAGCAGCATGATGGGCGTAGATGTTGTTTGAATAAGGTTTTGTAATGCTTTTCCGTTGGTTCACCTGTGGTGCGTTAACAGTCACAAAACTGTCCCTTCGAGCGCATGGCGGTAACCTCTCTGGTCAAGCGGGAAGGGTATGTTGCTGGATTCTAAAGGATCAATGGGCACTGACTATCGTCTAAGTGCAGCCTAGCGACCGTTCGGTCTAGCTGGAGAATATAGTTTTTGTAAAGGCGTTGGGCAGCATTCGTTCTCTGATGTGGCGCTGGACAACATGGGACGAGCTACAGCTAAATGTTAACAACCAACTAAATCAACTTAGATCAAACTAGGATTGCCACTCGCACTTCGGTGGAACGATACACTAGCAGGTCAAAGCTGAAGGAGACAGCTGGCCACGAACTTAGGTAGTCACATAACAGGGAGTACGGTGACATGCGCGCAACGCGTTCATATGTGTAATTTTGCAAATCCTGTGAAGCCAAATGTGTGTCAATCCACTAAGTAATATTAGAGTGCATACCCAGCATGGAGCAACACCTGTTGAGGCAGGAGCAGCATATAATAAAATAATCTGAGTGGAGTGCATGGCTTAGACTTAGAGCGGCACACTGGTGTCATTTAAGTGTGGAGTCTCAGTGCCCTGACTCACACCCTATGCATCCCTCAGCAGTGTCTCGCTCAAATAAAATACACTGAAAAGATAATATATTTACGGAGCTTCGCGCAACATTGATCTATGACACACAAACCCTGCCAATCTGGCAATCACTGAGAGACGTCATTCAGAACCGAGGACCACCCAGTCTGAGCCTCCTGAGAGGGCTTCAGCCGACACGAGAGAAACCCTGTACCCAGAATGAAATATTGAACTAAGAAAAGGTTGTGCAGCAACCAAATATAAATACCAACTCGCTAGCGATGTGCGCGACAGAGGAATTAAAAACAAGGAGCCAATTAGGAGAAATATTCCGCATGATGTGGCAACTCTAGACCTTGCCAAGAAGAAAGAGCAGCATGTTATTGAGCACTAACTCGGATGACTGACTCAGGATATTAATTAGTGACCATGCAGTTGATGCATCACAGAGAGGAAATGGCTCCAGGGTGGAGCGTATCTATTTCGATATTTCTATTTATATAATTAGCTGTAGATAAAAGCATGGTAATTAGAAGTAGGTAGGAAGCTTTCGAACCCCCACAGTTGTGACATGAAGCAGAGGGCCTAGTGTGCAACCAAAGGAATTGTGTTTGTAGCTTCAAGCAAGAGAATATTATTGGATCTAGAATTATTTTGAGATGCTTGAGAGGTTGCGAGGCATGCCTTGCTCACATGCGATGCCTAGCTTGATTCTGGACAGTAATTGATTGCGCTCAACTCAGGGAAATATTGTATTGTGATAACTTGAAGGTGCATTTGTGTTTGCAGAACGTGTTTGTGAATTCTGAGTTGTTGCAAGTGGCAGAGGTTCAAACCCTTTGGCTTGTCAATACTCTTTGAGGGTTTTGGTTTATTCCCAAGTAGCATAGGCTCAAACCCTGTGGCTTGTGGATGTGTTTCTGTGTTTCTGTGTCTCTGGATTGCATAGGTTCAAACCCTGTGGATCTACAAAAGGTTTCTGAAGTGTTTTCTGCTTAGAGCATGAGGCTTTAAGTCATGTGTAGTTTGTTTGACAGGTTGTGGCCACCTGTGTGTTGCACGCAACGTCAATTGAGGGTTGTACATTCTTGTGGGATGTTTGTGGGCTTGTGAAATATTACTTTTGCCTCGAGGCCGAGTGATACATATCGCTCACCTCCTGTCCTAAAAGCATTTGGACTTAGAGAATTCTTTTGAGCTAGCGTGCTATTACATCTTGAAGAGTGCAAGACATCTTTTAATTCTATTGTTATTGTGTGCTTGCATCGCACATCTCCCCTGAACTACTGAGATTCTGTGTGTGTGTGAGTGTGAGAGTGGGTGTGTTTAGTGTGTCTACGCTATCGCATTTCAAGCTTGGTGCGCACAGAGCCTCTTCAATGGAATGGGTAGATTAAACCTTAGCCATAGCTGGGGTTTAGACCAGCAAAGGCTGCTACTTAAATACACTATAGGTTCAATATAATTAGTACTGTGAGAACAGTCCGATATGAATCGCATGTTTGAGTAAGCATGAATGAGTCAGAAAAAGAAAAGAAAAGAAAATGAATAAACCATAACAGTTCATTATCCCCATGCATAATGATATCCTTTGTCTTCGTCCGAATGGCCTTTTTTACTGTATCAGTCATCTCCTCCTCATTTCCAAACTTCTCGGCCTCGATGGCTAGTTCTTCAAAATCCGCGAAGAACTTGATGGCATTTTTATAGTTTGCCTGTCGTAACACTTTCCATTTGATCCTTTTTAGTTCAATCTCAGCTGCCTCCCTGAATCTCTCACATACTTCAGCTTTGAAGGTGGGCCAGGTGGGGTACCTAGTGTGCCAGCACACCGGGTCGTATAGGTGTCCCTTCTTCTGGACCCACCACTCCAGTGCCTTCCCATCCATTAGAGAGGTGGCAAAGACTATCCAGGAGGGAGCATACCTTCTGTTACTCATCGGGAATTCCCAGGGGAATATGGCAAAGTAGTCTTTGCATTCGGATAGGAACCTCTTTATGTCACTAGAAGCCCCGGCAAAAGGTGCCAGGGTTCTCATCATTTTAGGTCTGACGAGACCCCAGGGGACTTCGCTCGCTTCCAACTCCCATGGCTCAGGGCTGTCTGGGGGTGGTCCTGGTGGGTCGGAAGGTAGTTCCAAGTCAATTAACTCCGGTAGTGACCATAGGTCATAGTTGTGGTGGGGGTTGTACAGGGGCGATGGAGGTGATGGTGGCGGGGGTGGTTTCCAGCTAGTGTGGGTCTTCTTTTTGGCAGAGTGGGACATGTCTTCAACGGGTTCTTGCAGGGCTTCTTCCTCAGTTGGCATTCCTCCTAGAAGCCTGCTTCCCAGAGGTAATGAGGGTGACTTTGGTTCCGGCTCCTTGGGGATTATCGCCCAATGGTAGGGTGGGTAGCTTCGTTGCTCAAATGGCCATAATACGTTGGCGTGATCGTTATGCAATTGGTTCCATAGTTTCACCACGTGATACTGGACCTCATCTTCGTAGATTGCATTTCAAACTATACTCGGCAGCTGTGTTTGGTACATAAATTTGGTGGCTTCAGAGATGAGCCATGACCCCTCATTGGCCAGGGACCTTCCCTGCCATTCCAGAAGCTCTAACCATTCCATTTCAGTCGCCACCTTCATCATTGCAGGGTTCAGGGGTTGATCTGGGGTAGGGTGTGGATGGCTCAGTATCAGGTTCCTGGAGCCAGTAGCGGAAGCCAGTGAGGTGGGCATGTTCCCATGGGAAGAGGCAGTTCCAGCGATGGGTTTCAGTATTTCTAGGCCAGAAATAGAGGGGCTGGTCTTCAGGTCGCAGTAGTATGGGGTATTCTTGTCTCTCCAGTACATGGGCACCTCCTCTTTGGGTGAGTGCACAGTTCCAATTTCGTATTCCTCTGGCGAAATCCTGGAACCTTCTGTATAATACGTCCCACTCTGAATGGACTGGGTTGTCGAAGAAGAAGTTGGCCAGTTGTGGCTCTTCTCCGTATTCTCCAAGGGTCCACCAGATGTATGGTACAAGGGGCTTGGGGGTTTCCCAGTCTCTTCTTCTGTCCTCTGCAATGGCTTGAAGCTGGCGGCATAAATCTCCACAGCACTCTCCATAGGGGCTGAGGTGGTGGTCGGCGAGCTCCTCCCTGACTGCGTAGGGGTTATGCTCCTCATTGTCAGTGACCCATAAGTCATAGGAGTTGGATATGTCAGACCCCATGCTCCCTCTGGTTGTGGCATTGCTTCTTCCCATGGCAATGCTGAGGTCGGGGAAGCCAGGGATAGTGGGTGAGTCTGGGTACTGGAGATCTATTACGGTTTTATCCCTATTTTCCTTATCTTATCTTATCCTTATCCCTATTTTCCTTATCTTATCTTATCCTTATCTCTTGGAACCCCGGACCTACCTATCTTATCTCTCAGACCCATGATATTCCGCCGGCACACTCTTTACCCAGTTACCCGGCTGCTGTCACCCCAGTTCATGCTGCCGCCTTTCAGATGACCAGCGACCTGCATGTGCCATCATGCTTCTCTTGATGGCATCATGCTTCTTAGTAGTTGGACGAGAGTCGACCGCCAGTCGAGGGCAGTCTACGGGATGCAGCCTATTCAGATGGAGTCCCATGCAGATGCAGGTGATATGCACTCTTTACTCTCATTCGTCGGGAGCATACTTCTTTTAGTGTTCTCCCTCCTCATTCATTGAAAGACGCACTTCTTGTTGCACGTGCCCTTGTAGATACTATTCTTAGTACAAGTCTAACATGTATTTAAGCTAGCCTACGCTGTGGCCTCAGACCCCAGCTTCGGCTAAGGTTATATACTCCTAACTCTTACAACAGCTTTGGCGAAGGTTCGAGTTAGTGCTTAACAATTAGCCGAAGCTTGCCCTTACTACCCTTACCATTATCAACGGTAACTGTACCGCTTCAAGGCAGTCACTGTTATACTTCTGAAAGAAAAAGAAACCTTCAGCCCGTTATTCGAAAACAGCACCCACCGTTCCTCGAGATCATAAACATTCATTGTGGTACAACAAACTTTATGCTGCTCACCCCCTCAGACCGCACTGCCATTATCTTCAGAAGTACCTTCAGTATCTTGACACTAGTAACTGCAGTCGCAGTTCTTCATATCCTCTGACCAACCTGCCGCCAAAGAGCACCGACCTCCAGAAGAGGGAGAGTACATGGGCTCAATGGCTCATCAGCAGGAACCTCATGAACAACAAGCACCATCCGGCTCCAGTCCCTCACACCACAGCCAAGGGGGGAGCAAGACTCACTTCAACACCCCTTACCTGACAGAGAAGAGCAACCCCCCATGCTCAAGCTTCAGGGAGAGGATCACTGAGATGGTGAAGGCGAAGAATCCCTTCAGGAAGAAGAGCTTGGATGACTCGGGATCCCTCCAGATGATGGAGATGACTGAGTTGACCCCAGATTTACCACCGAGTACTGGACCAACACAGACAGATCCTGGGATGACACGACATGGGGTGACGACAATGACTCCAAGGAGCCATCCATCACCTCCACAGAGTTATCCGCAGCTGTCCCAGGATTCGACAACGACGGAGAGCATCTCTATCAGAGAGGAACAAGTGAGTTCTACCGTGACGTATTCAATCGAATCGTCCATGGACAAACCAGACAAAGAACCACCTTCGAAGAAGGTGAAAACCCATTCCTCCCTGCCCAGGAACAAGGGGAAGTATGGGGAATACCCGACACAGGAGGACATTGAAGAGATGAATCTCCCAAGCCGGAGTGGCATGACGCTGATGAACCTATAGACTCCTGTGGGCGGAAACACAAAACCTAAGTGTGGTATGTGCTAACAGACACGGAATCTGAAGGATGGTTCTAGCGAGTCTAGTCAGGGCACCTCCGTGTGGTGACTAAAGCCTCCTAAGTTCGGAAAGATAAAGGAATTTCTCTACTAGTAGCGTAGAGGGTGGTAGCAAACTATAAAATTCGCAGGAAGGGAAGTAATTGGGAAAGGGATCCTAGAACAGGCCCTAAAACGAATCAGTAAATGTACAAGGACTATACCTTGTTCCTGTTGCAACTCTAGCTGCGAGTGCAATGAATAAGAGCTCTAAAGAGGCCGTCCAAGTTCTAGCTGCAAACCCAGAGGCTGTAGCGAATTATTAAACTTGCGTGATAAGGTTGAATCGAAGTGATGAGGATCGGTCTGATACTCGACGAGACTTTCTCTGGCTGCGAGAAAGAGAAGGCGTTGATGGGAGGGATGAAAACGCTGTCCCCTAGCTGCGGAAGCAAGCAAATTTGTTTGCGAAGCAAAGCAATAAAAGAGTTTCCTAGTGGCGGGACTCCTAATTACTTTGTGTAGAAGAGAGGGATGGGTTGTAAGCACAAGTAACCGTTAAAGGTTCACCGTTGCTTTAGAGAAATAAAGGTTTGAGACGAAGTTCTAGCAGCAAAAATTGTCTTTATTGCGCTACTTCAAGGGTGTATGTTGTAGGGTGTAGGTGTTAGAGATCGAAGGTAAGCATAGAGAATAATCTGGGGTCTCCCTTCTTCCTTGTTCAGGCTACCAACTTGCGAGCTTAAATACTTGTTACACTGGCTAACTAAGCTACCTTACTCTAGCACTAATATTACTATAGCATAGATTATTCAAGTACTTACTTAGCAAAGGCTGGTAAGTATGCACAGTTACTGCGCCTACGGCTATACTAATGTGACTAAGGGTTCTCACTAACTAGATCTCCAATACTTCAATGAATAATTTCCTATGGCTGCAGCTGACTTGCCGTAGTTTTAGCTACGCGATGCATTTTGCAAGGCTGCACGTGGATAATTTGTGACTGCAGGGATGTTTCACATGGGGTGGCAGTGCTAGTTCTAGACTGAGAGGCACAAAGTCTGCAGGGAGAAGGGAAGGATTGATAGGGCTGATGCCGATGACATCATACGTGAATCACTAACTTCGCGTGCTGAACACCCATTGACTTGGTTTAAATTGCATCTTGCTTGCAATCATTGAATTAGGGAAAGTCCGCTATAGGGACAAAGGTGATAAATTGTAGGTTGTGTCCGCAATTTCAGAGCGCACAGAGCCTAGAGGCTCATCAACGCTCCAACCTCTCTCACATCATACACCCCCGATGGAACCTACAGAGTTGAAGGACCCCCATCCTGGTGGGACGATGAGTCTGTCCATGAGTCAGACTTTGTCTGGCCTTCCCCCCGTCCCGAGTCCAAAGTCCTACCCCAAACAATTATCACCATCACCAACCTTAGAGATTTCGCAGAGCCACATTTTGCCCACATCTCAGAAACTTCCACTAATGATGCCATCAAAAATGGACCCGACAACATCATACTCAGACAAGCCAAGAACATTGTATTCACTGAGTACTCCGACAGTAATAATGAGGAGCTCCCAGAGTACTACACTGACCCAGGATCCCTGTTTAGTCAGGGACAGTGGGTCATCTTTCCAGGAGACACCCCTGAGGGAGACAGAATTCTTGACTGGTTTGCTGGAGATCAACCCTTTCCGGACCCTATCATCCTCCCAAACCGTGTCCTGAGGGAGCTTGACCAGACCCCTCATCCGTACCCCTACTGCAACTGTTCCATCTGCCGACATCTCAGGAACCTGGCCGTCGACGAGTATGAGGGAGCAGAACCCTCCATCAAGCTCGAGCCCCTCCTTGCCCCAGAAGGAGGGTTCTTACCCGATGGATACTACAGCTTTCTCCCACTCTGAAGCCTATGGCCCTGGGTCTGGAGATGTGAAGATGCCCTGGAGATCTGGGATGAGTACTACAGATACTGCAGGGGTGTATGGGACTGGAACGATGACTGGGATGCAGGATACGGGATATTCTCCCGATACCAGATCATCGGTTTTCCACCCGACCATGACAACAGGTCAGACCCCTGGACCTGAGCCGGAATGGTCATCGACCAGCGACTTGAGGAGGATGGAGCCAGTCGTCCCCCCAGTAGAAGCCCCTCCTACGACCCACCTGAGTTCGTCCAGGGCTCCAGTACAGGAGCTCATGGATCGACAAATATATGATCTAACATGGCAGCAAATGTTAGAATAGACTAGCAGACGACTATGGTACAATGTAAATTGGACCACATCTGACCAAGGACAAGCATATAATGCTGCAGAACTAGGTTCCAAACTAGAGGACAAGATACTGCATACCGAGATGTGGTATCATGCTGCTATCAATTGGAACAAGATACACCCCGACCAGCCTGTAGCGCCAGGAAGGCACTACAGAGAGGAATCATTCCCTAACCTGGGAATAGTAGGCCCCGAGAATCCAATTCCTGACATTACTTGGGCACCTTCCATGCCTGTAGCATGGCTGGAGAAGCCTCCCAGTCCGTGCCAACAGGAAAAACAGGTGGATCAGCACCTGCAGCTCCCAGCAGGGGTGGCGGTGGCCCAGGAGGACCAGGAGGAGGAAGTGGAGGAGGGCCTCCACCAATACCACCTCAACCTCCAGCACAACCACCGTCACTGCATAGTGATCAAAATCTTTGATCACTACCGCGACCTACCAATCCCCCTCTACTGCCGGACCCACCAAATGGGTGGGTCATCCCTGATGGACAACCCAATCCTTGGAGAAACATAAAACCCATGTTAATAGAGGTCCCCAACAAATTCTATGGGAAGGCTAGCGATTTAGATCGCTTCTTCAGCCACTGCGAATACTACTTCGAGGTCTTCGCCCAATACTTCATGCTTAATGAAGCCTATGGGTATGGCCCAAGTCGAGTAGTCTTTGCAGGCCACCGACTTGGTGGAGAAGCGATGACCTGGTGGGTCCATCAGCAATGACACTACAAGGACCCACACAGTGGAAGACATCGCCTTCCCACTTGGGAGACCTTCCAGGAAAACGTCCAAACATGTTTCCGAGAAGTAGCAGAGGTCCAAATCAAGCGGATGCAATGGAAGAAACTGCAACAAATGCAGTTCAAAACAGCCATCGAATTCTTTGAAAGGTTTGAACAACTGGCTGTGGAAGCTGAACGCTTCCACAACGACGAGGAAATGGAGGAAGTCGTCACCCTTGCAATCCGACCCAGGGTCAAGGAGATCATTATGGGCAGAGATAATATGTGGCCTACCACCTACTGGGAGTGGAGGTGCAGGGTCCTACAAATGGATGAGAACTACTGAGTTCATCTCGC